AGGACATGTCCTCCTGGGTTCTGGATCTTAGTGGTAGTCAGTCTATGGTTGCTGTGTAGGACATGTCCTCCTGGGTTCTGGGTCTTAGTGGTAGTCAGTCTATGGTTGCTGTGTAGGACATGTCCTCCTGGGTTCTGGGTCTTAGTGGTAGTCAGTCTATGGTTGCTGTGTAGGACATGTCCTCCTGGGTTCTGGATCTTAGCGGTAGTCAGGCTGTTATAGTGTTGGAGACTCGTCCTCCTTGATTTTGGGTTGATGTTAGGGGTTTGATGGATGTAGTCAGTCTGTGGTTGTTGGTTTGCTTCCATCTCTGTACTGTTGCAGGGTCGGGGACATGTCCTTCTTGGTTCTGACTATTAGTGGTAGTCAGTCTATAATTATTTAGAATCTGTGTAGATTCAATCTGTAGGGTTGGTGATATGTCCCCCTTGCTACTAGGTTGATGTTGAGGTTTTGATTTATGTATTCAGTCCATAATTGTTGGTTGTTGTGTAGTTTCCATCTCCATAGGGATGCGTCATTCTGGACCTTGGTGGTAGTCAGTCGATGATTGTTGGTTGCTGTCTGTTTTATATCACTGTACTGTTGCAGGGTCGGGGACGTGTCCTCCTGGGTTCTGGGTCTTGGTGGTAGTCACTCTGTGGTTGTTGGAGCTAGAAACTACACAGGAACCAACAATCATCGACTGGCCGCCACCAAGGTCCAGAATGACGCATCCCTATAGAGATGGAAACTACACAACAACCAACAATCATGGACTGACTACATCAATCACATCCTTAGTGGACTAACTACCAGAAGACCCAGAACCCAGGTGGGGGGGCAGTCTGCCTAGGTCTTGGGTCTTTGTGGTAGTCAGTCTGTGATTGTTGGTTGCTGTGTAGGACATGTCCTCCTGGGTTCTGGATCTTAGAGGTAGTCAGGCTGTTATGGTATTGGTGACTCGTCCTCCTTGATTTTGGGTTGATGTTAGGGGTGTGATGGATGTAGTCAGTCTGTGGTTGTTGGTTTCCTTCCATCTGTGTACTGTTGCAGGGTCGGGGACATGTCCTCCTTAGTTCTGAGTCTTATTGGTGGTAGTCAGTCTATAATTATTGGAAGCTGTGTGGATTCAGTCTGCAGGTTGGTGATATGTCCCCCTTGCTACTAGGTTGATGTTGAGGTTTTGCTTGATGTGGTCAGTCTATGATTGTTGGCTCCTCTGTATCTTTTATCTCTTTAATATTGCCAGGTTGGGGTTGTGTGTCCTGGGTTCCAGGTCTTAAGGGTAGTCATTCTATCATTGTTGGCTGCTGTGTGGTTTCTATCTCTGTACAGTTGTAGGGTTGATGACATGTCCTCCTTGATTTTGGGTTGATGTTAGGGGTTTGATTGATGTAGTCAGTCTGTGGTTGTTGGGTAACTTCCGTCTCTGTACTGTTGCGGGATCAGGAATGAGTCCTCCTGGGTTCTGGGTCTTAGTAGTAGTCAGTCTATCATACTTGGTTGTTGTGTGGTTTATATATCAGCACTGTTGCAGCTTTGGGTATATGTCCTCCTGGGTTCTGGGTCTTGGTGATAGTCACTTTGACTGTTGGAGCTAGAAACTACACAGGAACCAACAAGGGGTGGACTGACTACCACTACAACCCAGGACCCAGGTGGGGGATGTGTCTGCCTAGGTCGGGGACATGGTCCTTAGTGGCAGTCAGTCAGTATCATTATTGGCTCTGGTGTAGTTTTTTATCTCTATATTATTGCAGGGTTGAGGACGTGTCCTCCTGGGTCTCCTAGGTCTTGGTTGTAGTGTATCATTGTTGGTTGCTGTGTGGTTTTTGTTTCTGTACTCTTGCAGGGTCGGGGACGTGTCCTCCTGGGTCTCCTAGGTCTTGGTTGTAGTGTATCATTGTTGGTTGCTGTGTGGTTTTTTGTTTCTGTACTCTTGCAGGGTCAGGGACATGTCTTCTTGGGTTCTTATTCTTAGCAATAGTCAGTCTATCATTCTTGGTTGTTGTGTAGCTTCTATCTCTGTACTAATGTGGGGGCAGGGATGTGTCCTCCTGGGTTCTGGGTCTTAGTGGTAGTCACTCTATGATTGTTGGTTGCTGTGTAGTTTCTATCTCTGTATTATTGAAGGGCCGGGACGTGTCCTCCTGGGTTCTGGGTCTTACTGGTGGTCAGTCTACCATTGTTGGTTGTTGTGTAGCTTCTATCTCTGTATTATTGCAGGGTCGGGGACGTGTCCTCCTGGGTTCTGGGTCTTAGTGGTGGTCAGTCTATCATTGTTGGTTGTTGTGTAGCTTTATCTCTGTATTATTGCAGGGTCGGGGACGTGTCTTCCTGGGTTCTGGGTCTTAGTGGTAGTCACTCTGTGATTGTTGGTTGTTGTGTAGCTTCTATCTCTGTATTATTGCAGGGTTGGGGACGTGTCTTCCTGGGTTCTGGGTCTTAGTGGTAGTCACTCTATGATTGTTGGTTGCTGTGTAGCTTCTATGTCTGTTGTTATTGCAGGGCCAGGAACATGTCCTCCTGGGTTCTGGGTCTTAGTGGTGGTCAGTCTATCATTGTTGGTTGTTGTGTAGCTTCTATCTCTGTATTATTGCAGGGTCGGGGACGTGTCCTCCTGGGTTCTGGGTCTTAGTGGTGGTCAGTCTATCATTGTTGGTTGTTGTGTAGCTTCTATCTCTGTATTATTGCAGGGTCGGGGACGTGTCCTCCTGGGTTCTGGGTCTTAGTGGTGGTCAGTCTATCATTGTTGGTTGTTGTGTAGTTTATCTCTTTGTATTATTGCAGGGTCGGGGACGTGTCCTCCTGGGTTCTGGTCTTAGTGGTGGTCTGTCTATCATTGTTGGTTGTTCTGTAGTTTCTATCTCTTTGTTATTGCAGAGTCGGGGACGTGTCCTCCTGGGTTCTGGGTCTTAGTGGTGTGGTCAGTCTACCATTGTTGTTTTTTTGCGTAGCTTCTATGTCTTTGTTATTGCAGGGCCAGGAACGTGTCCTCCTGGGTTCTGGGTCTTAGTGGTGGTCAGTCTATCATTGTTGGTTGCTGTGTAGCTTCTATCTCTTTGTTATTGCAGGGTCGGGGACGTGTCCTCCTGGGTTCTGGGTCTTAGTGATGGTCAGTCTATCATTGTTGGTTGTTCTGTAGTTTCTATCTCTATAATATTGCAGGGTCGGGGATGTGTCCTCCTGGTTCTGGGTCTTAGTGGTGGTCTGTCTATCATTGTGGGATTTTGCGTAGCTTCTAGCTCTTTGTTATTGCAGGGTCGGGGACGTGTCCTCCTGAGTTCTGGGTCTTAGTGGTGGTCAGTCTATCATTGTTGGTTGTTGTGTAGCTTCTATCTCTGTAATATTGCAGGGTTGGGGACGTGTCCTCCTGGGTTCTGGGTCTTAGTGGTGGTCAGTCTATGATTGTTGGTTGTTGTGTAGTTTCTGTCTCTGTATTATTGCAGGGTCGGGGACGTGTCCTCCTGAGTTCTGGGTCTTAGTGGTGGTCAGTCTATCATTGTTGGTTACTGTGTAGCTTCTATCTCTGTATTATTGCAGGGTCGGGGACGTGTCCTCCTGGGTTCTGGGTCTTAGTGGTGGTCAGTCTATCATTGTTGGTTTTTTGTGTAGCTTCTATCTCTTTGTTATTGCAGGGCCAGGAACGTGTCCTCCTGGGTTCTGGGTCTTAGTGGTGGTCAGTCTATGATTGTTGGTTTTTTGCGTAGCTTCTATGTCTTTGTTATTGCAGGGCCAGGAACGTGTCCTCCTGGGTTCTGGGTCTTAGTGGTGGTCAGTCTATCATTGTTGGTTTTTTGCGTAGCTTCTATGTCTTTGTTATTGCAGGGCCAAGAACGTGTCCTCCTGGGTTCTGGGTCTTAGTGGTGGTCAGTCTATGATTGTTGGCTTTTTGTGTAGCTTCTATCTCTTGTATTATTGCAGGGCCAGGAACGTGTCCTCCTGGGTTCTGGGTCTTAGTGGTGGTCAGTCTATGATTGTTGGCTGTTGTGTAGCTTCTATCTCTGTATTATTGCAGGGCCGGGAACGTGTCCTCCTGGGTTCTGGGTCTTAGTGGTGGTCAGTCTATCATTGTTGGTTTTTTGCATAGCTTCTATGTCTTTGTTATTGCAGGGCCGGGAACGTGTCCTCCTGGGTTCTGGGTCTTAGTGGTGGTCAGTCTACGATTGTTGGTTTTTTGTGTAGCTTCTATGTCTTTGTTATTGCAGGGCCAGGAACGTGTCCTCGGGTTCTGGGTCTTAGTGGTGGTCAGTCTATCATTGTTGGTTTTTTGCGTAGCTTCTATGTCTTTGTTATTGCAGGGCCAGGAATGTGTCCTCCTGGGTTCTGGGTCTTAGTGGTGGTCAGTCTATGATTGTTGGTTTTTGTGTAGCTTCTATGTCTTTGTTATTGCAGGGCCAGGAACGTGTCCTCCTGGGTTCTGGGTCTTAGTGGTGGTCAGTCTATCATTGTTGGTTTTTTGCGTAGCTTCTATGTCTTTGTTATTGCAGGGCCAGGAACGTGTCCTCCTGGGTTCTGGGTCTTAGTGGTGGTCAGTCTATCATTGTTGGCTGTTGTGTAGCTTCTATCTCTGTATTATTGCAGGGCCGGGAACGTGTCCTCCTGGGTTCTGGGTTTGCACAGATGGGTTGTGTATCAGAAGACAGAGGCGTTGTGACGGGACACCTGATTGCACGGATGGATCAGATGAGGAGGTGGAGCATTGTTCATCGTTGCGCCCGGAGAACGCAGAGCCGACGACACCCACACACAGCAACACGCCAGGTGACCTTACTTATTGCATTCATTTGTTTTTTTTACATTTCTATCAGACAATCCAAATTATTTTGACCCAAATCTCTCCATTGGTGCTCATGGTGTATATTGTAGGTTCATGTTTGGTTGTATTGGTTGTGTTATGATGTCTGAAGACCATAGAAGCCCCTTGGTATCTCTGACTGAGAAGAATATGTCCTAATGTGTCCCGTTTTCCTCCCGCAGGCGATGGATCCGTCTCCCGCTGTGGCCGCTATGAGTTCCGCTGTGGCAGTGGCGAGTGCAGACCCCGCGGCTGGCTCTGCGATAACGAGGTGGATTGTATGGACGGCAGCGATGAAGATGATTGTAACAGGAGCTGCGACCTGGACCAGTTCAAGTGCTCGCTGAGCGGGGAGTGTGTGGGGTACAGCCAACTGTGCGACGGGATCCCACACTGCCGCGACCAATCAGACGAGAGCATGGACAACTGCGGTAAGTCACATGACCATGAGAAAATCCTGAGAACTTTGTTTATTCTGGACCCTGAATGACAGAAGGCTCTGAGCTCATGTCCCAACGTGTGGTCATCAGTCATGGTGATCCTGGAGTGTATGGATTGTAGGAGATTATTTCACTTACACTATATTGCCAAAAGTATTGGTTGGCCGGCCTTTCCACACACATGACCTTTAATGGCCCCCCAGTCTTAGTCCGTAGGGTTCAATATTCAGTTGGCCCCGCCCTTTCCACATACATGACCTTTAATAGCCCCCCAGTCTTAGTCTGTAGGGTTCAATATTGAGTTGGCCCCGCCCTTTCCACACAAATGACCTTTAATGGCCCACCAGTCTTAGTCCGTAGGGTTCAATACTGAGTTGGCCCCGCCCATTCTTTCACCAATGTTTGTAGAAGCAGTCTGCATGCCTAGGGCTTGATTGTATACACCTGTGTCCATGGAGGGGATTGGAGCACCTGAATCACATGATATGGGAGGGGATTGGAACACCTGAATCACATGACATGGAGGGGATTGGAACACCTGAATCACATGATACCTTTTGGAACACCTGAATCACATGACATGGAGGGGATTGGAACGCCTGAATCACATGATATGGAGGGGATTGGAACACCTGAATCACGTGATATGGAGGGGATTGGAACACCTGAATCACATGATATGGAGGGGATTGGAACACCTGAATCACGTGACATGGAGGGGATTGGAACACCTGAATCACATGATATGGAGGGGATTGGAACACCTGAATCACGTGACATGGAGGGGATTGGAACACCTGAATCACATGATATGGAGGGGATTGGAACACCTGAATCACGTGACATGGAGGGGATTGGAACACCTGAATCACGTGACATGGAGGGGATTGGAACACCTGAATCACATGACATGGAGGGGATTGGAACACCTAAATCACATGATATGGGGGGGGATTGGAACGCCTGAATCACATGACATGGAGGGGATTGGAACACCTGAATCACGTGACATGGAGGGGATTGGAACACCTGAATCACGTGATATGGAGGGGATTGGAACGCCTGAATCACGTGATATGGAGGGGATTGGAACACCTGAATCACGTGACATGGAGGGGATTGGAACACCTGAATCACATGATATGGAGGTGGATTGGAACACCTGAATCACATGATATGGAGGGGATTGGAACACCTGAATCACATGATATGGAGGGGATTGGAACACCTGAATCACATGATTTTTGGAGGGGGATTGGAACACCTGAATCACATGATATGGAGGGGATTGGAACACCTGAATCACATGATGATTTGGAGGGCGGGGACAATACTTGGGGCAGTATGGTGTATGTTTTAGTGACATTCTGTGACTTTCTATTGGCAGGTTCCACGCAGATCCCCGTGTCCCGGGCACTTCATCTGCACTAACAGGATGTGTGTGAACATCTCCGTGGTATGTGATGGCTCCCCGGACTGTCCACAGGGAGAGGATGAGAAGACATGCGGTGAGATGACGGGGGTTCCCTAGGGGTAGTACAGTGTGAGATATAGGGGGGTTCCCTAGGGGTAGTACAGTGGTGAGATATAGGGGGGTTCCCTAGGGGTAGTACAGTGGTGAGATATATAGGGGGGTTCCCTAGGGGTAGTACAGTGGTGAGATGTGTGTTGGGGGGTTCCCTAGGGTAGTACAGTGGTGAGATATAGGGGGGTTCCCTAGCGGTATTACATTGGTGAGATGTGTGGTGGGGGGGTTCCCTAGGGGTAGTACAGTGGTGAGATGTGTGTTGGGGGGTTCCCTAGGGGTAGTACAGTGGTGAGATATAGGGGGGTTCCCTAGGGGTAGTACAGTGGTGAGATGTGTGTTGGGGGGTTCCCTAGGGGTAGTACAGTGGTGAGATATAGGGGGGTTCCCTAGAGGTAGTACAGTGGTGAGATATAGGGGAGGGGGTTCCCTAGAGGTAGTACAGTAGTGAGATATAGGGGGGTTCCCTAGAGGTAGTACAGTAGTGAGATATAGGGGGGTTCCCTAGAGGTAGTACAGTAGTGAGATATAGGGGGGTTCCCTAGAGGTAGTACAGTAGTGAGATATAGGGGGGTTCCCTAGGGGTAGTACAGTGGTGAGATGTGTGTTGGGGGGTTCCCTAGGGGTAGTACAGTGGTGAGATGTGTGTTGGGGGGGGGGTTACCTAGGGGTAGTACAGTGGTGAGATGTGTGTTGGGGGGGTTACCTAGGGGTAGTACAGTGGTGAGATATAGGGGGGTTCCCTAGGGGTAGTACAGTGGTGAGATGTGTGTTGGGGGGTTCCCTAGGGGTAGTACAGTGGTGAGATATAGGGGGGTTCCCTAGCGGTATTACATTGGTGAGATGTGTGGTGGGGGGGTTCCCTAGGGGTAGTACAGTGGTGAGATGTGTGTTGGGGGGGTTCCCTAGGGGTAGTACAGTGGTGAGATATAGGGGGGTTCCCTAGGGGTAGTACAGTGGTGAGATGTGTGTTGGGGGGATTCCCCCTAGGGGTAGTACAGTGGTGAGATATAGGGGGGTTCCCTAGAGGTAGTACAGTGGTGAGATATAGGGAGGGGGTTCCCTAGAGGTAGTACAGTAGTGAGATATAGGGGGGTTCCCTAGAGGTAGTACAGTAGTGAGATATAGGGGGGTTCCCTAGAGGTAGTACAGTAGTGAGATATAGGGGGGTTCCCTAGAGGTAGTACAGTAGTGAGATATAGGGGGGTTCCCTAGGGGTAGTACAGTGGTGAGATATAGGGGGGGTTCCCTAGGGGTAGTACAGTGGTGAGATATAGGGGGGTTCCCTAGGGGTAGTACAGTGGTGAGATATAGGGGGGTTCCCTAGGGGTAGTACAGTGGTGAGATATAGGGAGGGGGTTCCCTAGAGGTAGTACAGTGGTGAGATATAGGGGGGTTCCCTAGGGGTAGTACAGTGGTGAGATATAGGGGGGGTTCCCTAGGGGTAGTACAGTGGTGAGATATAGGGGGGGGTTCCCTAGAGGTAGTACAGTGGTGAGATATAGGGGGGTTCCCTAGGGGTAGTACAGAGTGTGAGATATAGGGGGGTTCCCTAGAGGTAGTACAGTGGTGAGATATAGGGGGGTTCCCTAGGGGTAGTACAGTGGTGAGATATAGGGGGGTTCCCTAGGGGTAGTACAGTGGTGAGATATAGGGGGGTTCCCTAGGGGTAGTACAGTGGTGAGATATAGGGGGGTTCCCTAGGGGTAGTACAGTGGTGAGATATAGGGGGGTTCCCTAGGGGTAGCACAGTGGTGAGATATAGGGGGGTTCCCTAGGGGTAGTACAGTGGTGAGATATAGGGGGGTTCCCTAGGGGTAGTACAGTGGTGAGATGTGTGTTGGGGGGTTCCCTAGAGGTAGTACAGTGTGAGATATAGGGGGGTTCCCTAGTACAGTGGTGAGATATAGGGGGGGGTTCCCTAGAGGTAGTACAGTGGTGAGATATAGGGAGGGGGGGTTCCCTAGAGGTAGTACAGTAGTGAGATATAGGGGGGTTCCCTAGAGGTAGTACAGTAGTGAGATATAGGGGGGTTCCCTAGGGGTAGTACAGTGGTGAGATGTGTGTTGGGGGGTTCCCTAGAGGTAGTACAGTGGTGAGATGTGTGTTGGGGGGTTCCCTAGGGGTAGTACAGTGTGTGAGATATAGGGGGGTTCCCTAGGGGTAGTACAGTGTGAGATATAGGGGGGTTCCCTAGAGGTAGTACAGTGTGAGATATAGGGGGGTTCCCTAGGGTAGTACAGTGTGAGATATAGGGGGGTTCCCTAGGGGTAGTACAGTGGTGAGATATAGGGGGGTTCCCTAGAGGTAGTACAGTGTGAGATATAGGGGGGTTCCCTAGGGGTAGTACAGTGGTGAGATATAGGGGGGTTCCCTAGGGGTAGTACAGTGTGAGATATAGGGGGGTTCCCTAGGGGTAGTACAGTGGTGAGATGTGTGTTGGGGGGTTCCCTAGAGGTAGTACAGTGGTGAGATGTGTGTTGGGGGGTTCCCTAGAGGTAGTACAGTGGTGAGATGTGTGTTGGGGGGTTCCCTAGGGGTAGTACAGTGTGAGATATAGGGGGGTTCCCTAGGGGGTAGTACAGTGTGAGATATAGGGGGGTTCCCTAGGGGTAGTACAGTGTGAGATATAGGGGGGTTCCCTAGGGGTAGTACAGTGTGAGATATAGGGGGGTTCCCTAGGGGTAGTACAGTGTGAGATATAGGGGGGTTCCCTAGAGGTAGTACAGTGTGAGATATAGGGGGGTTCCCTAGGGGTAGTACAGTGGTGAGATATAGGGGGGTTCCCTAGGGGTAGTACAGTGTGAGATATAGGGGGGTTCCCTAGGGGTAGTACAGTGTGAGATATAGGGGGGTTCCCTAGGGGTAGTACAGTGGTGAGATATAGGGGGGTTCCCTAGAGGTAGTACAGTGGTGAGATATAGGGGGGTTCCCTAGAGGTAGTACAGTGTGAGAGATATAGGGGGGTTCCCTAGGGTAGTACAGTGTGAGATATAGGGGGGTTCCCTAGTACAGTGGTGAGATGGGTGGGGGACTGTTGTGATTTTCGGTCCTGGACCCCGAGAACCAACTCAGGTCATGTGTCATGAGACCATCATGAGACCATCATGTGACCTTCATGAGACCATCATGTGACCATCATCATGTGACCATCATGAGACCATCATGTGACCATCATGAGACCATCATGAGACCATCATCATGTGACCATCATGAGACCATCATCATGTGACCATCATGAGACCATCATGAGACCATCATCATGTGACCATCATGAGACCATCATGTGACCATCATGTGACCTTCATGTGACGTGTTCTATCTCTCATATCTGGGCCGTATTACTGACCTATTCTGCATTCATGGTCTTTGAGGTGCTCCACCCTAAACTGATGTCTCCCTTCTATAGAGAGAAGCTCGGTGACCCCCTCCCCCTCCATCCAGGACAAGCCGAGCTCCACCTCCTGCCCCGAGTAAGTACTCCTGTCCAGATGGACGATGTCTGATGTTCAAGCAGGTAGAGGGCAGGCGGGGGATTCCATGGAAGGTCCTCTGAATCTCCTCCACCTGCCCTCCATCCTCTGTCTTCTCCATCCTCAGGTGTGTAATGGAATCTCGGATTGTGGCGAGGACTCTTCTGGTTGGGTGGCAGCGGACGAGTGGGAGTGCAGCTTCTGGAGCCCATGGGGTGGATGGAGTGAATGCAGCCAATCATGTGGTCCCGGCATGCAGACCAGAAGGCGAGTGTGCACCAATCCGACTGGAGATATCCTGAGGCAGTGCCGAGGAGAGCTGAGTGAGGACCAGCAGTGCTTCTCCGTGTCCTGTCCAGGTGAGGGGGTGTGTCCCCCAATCATTGGTGGGGTTCCCCATGGGCGTATTCAGGCTCTCCCCATCTCATTATTATCACATCATACCAAAGAATAAGAGGGCAGGTGGGGTACAGCCTTGGGTGTGACACCATCAGTCATGTCATGTCTGGGAGGGCAGGGGGGTACAGCCTTGGGTGTGACACCATCAGTCATGTCATGTCTGGGAGGGCAGGTGGGGTACAGCCTTGGGTCTGACACCATCAGTCATGTCATGTCTGGGAGGGCAGGGGGGGGTACAGCCTTGGGTGTGACATCATCAGTCACGTTATGTCCGGGAGGGCAGGGGGGGTACAGCCTTGGGTGTGACACCATCAGTCATGTTATGTCTGGGAGGCAGGTGGGGTACAGCCTTGGGTGTGACACCATCAGTCATGTCATGTCTGGGAGGGCAGGTGGGGTACAGCCTTGGGTGTGACATCATCAGTCACGTTATGTCCGGGAGGGCAGGGGGGGTACAGCCTTGGGTCTGACACCATCAGTCATGTCATGTCTGGGAGGGCAGGGGGGGTACTGCCTTGGGTGTGACACCATCAGTCATGTTATGTCTGGGAGGGCAGGTGGGGTACAGCCTTGGGTGTGACACCGTCAGTCATTGTCATGTCTGGGAGGGCAGGGGGGGTACAGCCTTGGGTGTGACACCATCAGTCATGTTATGTCTGGGAGGGCAGGGGGGGTGCAGCCTTGGGTCTGACACCATCAGTCATGTTATGTCTGGGAGGGCAGGGGGGGTGCAGCCTTGGGTCTGACACCGTCAGTCATGTCATGTCTGGGAGGGCAGGGGGGGTACAGCCTTGGGTGTGACACCATCAGTCATGTCATGTCTGGGAGGGCAGGTGGGGTACAGCCTTGGGTCTGACACCATCAGTCATGTTATGTCTGGGAGGGCAGGTGGGGTACAGCCTTGGGTGTGACACCATCAGTCATGTCTGGGAGGGCAGGTGGGGTACAGCCTTGGGTGTGACACCGTCAGTCATGTTATGTCCGGGAGGGCAGGTGGGGTACAGCCTTGGGTGTGACACCGTCAGTCATTTCATGTCTGGGAGGGCAGGTGGAGTACAGCCTTGGGTGTGACACCATCAGTCATTTTATGTCTGGGAGGGCAGGTGGACTACAGCCTTGGGTGTGACACCGTCAGTCATTTTATGTCTGGGAGGGCAGGTGGGGTACAGCCTTGGGTCTGACACCATCAGTCATGTTATGTCGGGAGGGCAGGTGGGGTACAGCCTTGGGTGTGACACCATCAGTCATTTTATGTCAGGGAGGGCAGGTGGGGTACAGCCTTGGGTGTGACACCGTCAGTCATTTTATGTCTGGGAGGGCAGGTGGGATACAGCCTTGGGTGTGACACCATCAGTCATTTTATGTCAGGGAGGGCAGGTGGGGTACAGCCTTGGGTCTGACACCATCAGTCATTTTATGTCAGGGAGGGCAGGTGGGGTACAGCCTTGGGTCTGACACCATCAGTCATTTTATGTCAGGGAGGGCAGGTGGGGTACAGCCTTGGGTCTGACACCATCAGTCATGTTATGTCAGGGAGGGCAGGTGGGGTACAGCCTTGGGTGTGACACCATCAGTCATTTTATGTCAGGGAGGGCAGGTGGGGTACAGCCTTGGGTCTGACACCATCAGTCATTTTATGTCAGGGAGGGCAGGTGGGGTACAGCCTTGGGTCTGACACCATCAGTCATTTTATGTCTGGGAGGGCAGGTGGGGTACAGCCCAGGGTCTGACACCATCAGGCATTTTGTGTCCTTGCTCATCATCTCCACTACATGCTGGAACTGCTCTTCAGTGGGTCAGTTAATATGGTGGTCTTCTCAATCTCATTGTGGAAGGGCTCTGCTGTCCACCTCAGCACACCGACTGCCGGATCACCCGACCACACACTGTGAATGTTCAGATCTCGATAAGATCAGATCATTGTTTCTTCTACATGACGTCTTCCACTATTTGACTCTTCTTGTCCTCGTTGTCTCTCCTCAGTGGACGGTTCCTGGACTGAATGGACAACATGGTCAAACTGTACCCAAGACTGCAATGGGGTGGTGATCCGCCGGAGGGAGTGCTCCCCACCACAGAATGGAGGGCGCCACTGCTCTGAGCTCCCACATTCCTCAGCTGTATCTCTGGAGATTGGTAAGATGGGTTGAGGCGGTGGTGAGGAGGATTCTGGGAATAATCCATAGACATTTTCTTATCGAGCTCAATCTGAAACCCGCAAATGATCCAGAAGAGGCAGTAAGCCCTTAAAAACATGGCCCAATTTGCAACAGTGGGGGAAAAATTCCTTCCTGACCCCCATGGGCAACGGGACCTTCCTTAGAGTGAGTCTACGTTGTCACAGATCTGACTCTTTACATCATTTCCAGATGCGGAGGATTTCATCTCTCTTCCTCCAAGCAAAGAATTCCCCTTGTCAACTGTAATGACTTCAAAGTGAATAAAGTTGCATCAAGCTCACTCTCTGGACCACCTCATCGTCATCCTCATCCATGGTGATCATATCCCTCCATTATCATCATTCATGGTGATCATATCCCTCATCATCGTCATCATCCATGGTGATCATATCCCTCATCATCATTCATGGTGATCATATCCCTCATCATCATCATCCATGGTGATCATATCCCTCCATCATCATCATTCATGGTGATCATATCCCTCATCATCATCATCATCCATGGTGATCATATCCCTCATCATCATCATCATCCATGGTGATCATATCCCTCCATCATCAGTATTCTTGGTGATCAAATACCTCATCATCATCATAACCATCCATTGTAATCATATCCCTCCATCATCATCATCATTCATGGTGATCAAATACCTCATCATCATCATCATATCCCTCATCATCCTCATCCATGGTGATCCTATCCCTCATTAATATCATCCATGGTGATCATATCCCTCATCATCTATGGTGATCCTATCCCTCATTAATATCATCCATGGTGATCATATCCCCCTCCTCCTCCTCATCATCATCATCCATGGTGATCATATCCCTCCATCATCATCATCTATGGTGATCATATCCCTCATCATCATCCATGGTGATCATATCCCTCATCATCTATGGTGATCCCCTTAATCCCTCTTCTTCATGGAGAATGGACTCGGCTCCTTGTGTTCCTCGGTCATGTAGTCCTGGTGGACCGTTTCCTCCACCACGTCGCCTGTGAGTGACGGCCACTCCTTCCCTTTCTATAGATTGGAGATTTATTTCTCACATTGATCTGGAATGTTCCATGTAACAGTCGGGGGGAAGGATGATTATGTGTGATTTCCCTGACGATAATGATTTCCCTGACGATGTGTGATTTCCCTGACCCTGACGATGTGTGATTTCCCTGACGATGCGTGATTTCCATCCCCTGATGATCGTGATTTCCCTGACGATGCGTGATTTCCCTGACGATGCGTGATTTCCCTGATGTGTGATTTCCCTGACGATGCGTGATTTCCATGACCCTGATGATGCATGATTTCCCTGACGATGTGTGATTTCCCTGACGATGTTGTGATTTCCCTGACGATGTGTGATTTCCCTGACGATGCGTGATCTCCATGACGATGCGTGATCTCCATGACGATGCGTGGTCTCCATGACGATGCGTGGTCTCCATGACGATGTGTGATCTCCATGATGATGTGTGATCTCTCCCTGACGATGCGTGATTTCCCTGACGATGTGTGATTTCCCTGACGATGTGTGATTTCCCTGACGATGTGTGATTTCCCTGACCCTGACGATGTGCGATTTCCCTGACGATGTGTGATTTTGACCCTGACGATGCGTGATTTTCCCTGACGATGCGTGATTTCCCTGACGATGCGTGATTTCCCTGACGATGCGTGATTTCCCTGACGATGTGTGATTTCCCTGACGATGTGTGATTTCCCTGACGATGCGTGATTTCCCATGACCCTGACGATGTGTGATTTCCCTGACGATGCGTGATTTCCATGACCCTGATGATGTGTGATTTCCCTGACGATGTGTGATTTCCCTGACGATGTGTGATTTCCCTGACGATGCGTGATTCTCCATGACGATGTGTGATCTCCTGATGATGCGTGATCTCCATGACGATGTGTGTCTCCATGACGATGTGTGATTTTCCCTGATGATGTGTGATTTCCCTGACGATGTGTGATTTTCATGACCCTGACGATGTGTGATTTCCCTGATGATGTGTGATTTCCATGACCCTGACGATGTGTGATTTCCCTGATGATGCGTGATTTCCCTGATGATGCGTGATTTCCCTGACGATTGTGACGATGATGTGTGATTTCCCCCTGACGATGCGTGATTTCCCTGACGATGTGTGATTTCCCTGACAGATGTGTGATTTCCCTGACGATGTGTGATTTCCCTGACGAGATGTGTGATTTTCCCTGACGATGTGTGATTTCCCCCTGACGATGTGTGATTTCCCTGACGATGTGTGATTTTCCCTGACGATGTGTGATTTCCCTGCAGATGTGTGATTTCCCTGACGATGCGTGATTTCCCTGCAGATGTGTGATTTCCCTGACGATGTGTGATTTCCCTGACCCTGACGATGTGTGATTTCCCTGATGATGTGTGATTTCCCTGACGATGTGTGATTTTCATGACCCTGACAATGTGTGATTTCCCTGATGATGTGTGATTCCCTGACGATGTGTGATTTCCCTGACGATGTGTGATTTCCCTGATGATGCGTGATTTCCCTGATGATGCGTGATTTCCCTGACGATGCGTGATTTCCCTGACGATGCGTGATTTCCCTGACGATGTGTGATTTCCCTGACCCAGATGTGTGATTTCCCTGCGATGTGTGATTTCCCTGACGATGTGTGATTTCCCTGACCCTGCGTGATGTGTGATTTCCCTGACGATGCGTGATTTCCCTGACGATGTGTGATTTCCCTGACCCTGACGATGTGTGATTTCCCTGACGATGTGTGATTTTCATGACCCTGACGATGCGTGATTTCCCTGACGATGTGTGATTTCCCTGATGATGTGTGATTTTGACCCTGACGATGTGTGATTTCCCTGCGATGTGTGATTTCCCCTGATGTGTGATTTCCCTGCGATGTGTGATTTCCCTGACCCTGACTATGTGTGATTTCCCTGCGATGTGTGATTTCCCTGCAGATTTTGATTTCCCTGATGATTTTTGATTTCCCTGACGATGTGTGATTTCCCTGACGATGTGTGATTTCCCTGACGATGTGTGATTTTCCCTGACGATGCGTGATTTCCCTGACGATGCGTGATTTCCCTGACGATGCGTGATTTCCCTGACAGATGTGTGATTTCCCTGACGATGCGTGATTTCCCTGACGATGCGTGATTTCCCTGACGATGCGTGATTTCCCTGTGATGTGTGATTTCCCTGATGTGTGATTTCCCTGATGATGTGTGATTTCCCTGACGATGTGTGATTTCCCTGACGATGTGTGATTTCCCTGACGATGCGTGATTTCCCTGATGATGTGATTTCCCTGACCCTGATGTGTGATTTCCCTGACGATGTGTGATTTCCCTGACGATGTGTGATTTCCCTGACGATGCGTGATCTCCCTGACGATGCGTGATTTCCCTGATGTGTGATTTCCCTGACGATGCGTGATTTCCCTGATGATGTGTGATTTCCCTGATGATGTGTGATTTCCTGACGATGTGTGATTTCCTGACATGTGTGATTTTCCCTGATGATGTGTGATTTCCCTGACGATGCGTGATTTCCCTGACGATGCGTGATTTCCCTGACGATGCGTGATTTCCCTGCAGATGTGTGTCGACAAGATGGCTGTCCAGAGTCTCGGTCTTGTCCTGCTGATCTCCAGTATAAGTCGTGTGCCCCGTGTCCCCAGACCTGCTCGGATCTGACCAATAAGAGGAGCTGCCATGGCGATGAGCACTGCGTGCCGGGTAAGAAGATGAAGGAACCCCGTGTGATCTCTGTGTGTGTGGTGTCACCTCCATGCCTCCCTCACCCCTCTCCTCATCTCTCCTTCCAGGCTGTTGGTGTCCTGATGGGCTTCTGATGGACAATATGAACCACTGTGTGCGCCCAGAGGAGTGCCCCTGTGACGTGGAGGGCGCCACCTACTGGCCCGGCCAACTGGTCAAAGCCAACTGTCAGATCTGCACGTGTCAGGAGGGTCAGATGAAACAGTGCCGGCCCAACCCGGAGTGTACCGGTCAGTGCCCAGCAGAGGGCAATGTACACCCAGGAGCTGATCTAACAGGCTCTCATAACAGGGCTCCAGTCTCTTGTTACATGGTGCCAGGCACTTATAACAGGGCTCCAGTCTCTTGTTACATGGTGCCAGGATCTTTTAACAGGGCTCCAGTCTCTTGTTACACGGTGCCAGGCTCTTATAACAGGGCTCCAGTCTCTTGTTACATGGTGCCAGGCTCTTATAACTGGGCTCCAGTCTCTCTTGTTCCTCCACTGGGTCCATGGCTCTTGTAACAGGTGTTGCTCCAGTCTCTGGTTACATGGCCCCAGTCTGTAATGTTGCTCCAGTCTCTTGGTTCCATGGTCCCAGTCTTATAAATGTTGCTCCAGTCTCCTGTGTGTACATGCTCCAGTCTCTGTTTCCATGGTCCCAGTCTGTAATGTTGCTCCAGTCTCTGTTCCATGGTCCCAGTCTGTAATGTTGCTCCAGTCTCTGGTTCCATGGTCCCAGTCTGTAATGTTGCTCCAGTCTTTGGTTCCATGGTCCCCAGTCTGTAATGTTGCTCCAGTCTCTGGTTCCATGGCCCCAGTCTGTGATGTTGCTCCAGTCTCTGGTTCCATGGTCCCAGTCTGTGATGTTGCTCCTGTCTCTGGTTCCATGGCCCCAGTCTGTAATGTTGCTCCTGTCTCTGGTTCCATGGCCCCAGTCTGTAATTTTGCTCCAGTCCATCCATGGACCCCCAGTCTGTAATGTTGCTCCAGTCTCTGGTTCCATGGTCCCAGTCTGTAATGTTGCTCCAGTCTCTGGTTCCATGGCCCCAGTCTGTAATGTTGCTCCAGTCTTTGGTTCCATGGTCCCAGTCTCTGGTTTCCAGCACTCTGTAGACGTTCTGGTGGACATCTCTGGTAATCTGCATTGTGTGTTGGGGGTGTACAGAGACCAGCCTGAGATGTACCATACCCCATACATTGTATATGATGATTGGGTGTCTGCCATTTTGTATTTCTAGTGAACTGCGGCTGGTCAGCCTGGTCCCCCTGGGTTGAGAGTGTCTGGGTCCATGTGGAGTGCATGAGCATCCAGTGGTCCTTCCGTAGCCCCAACAATCCCAGCAAACATGGCAATGGGAAGCAATGCCGCGGAATCTACCGGAAGGCCCCAGGTGAGGAGAGGTGTCCGTGTGAGGAGAGGTGTCGTACATGGCGAGGTGTAAGGTGTTGGTGTGAGTCTCTGGATTCCATGGTGAGGTGTCTGTGAGGAGAGGAGTTGTTCCATGGTGAGTCGGTGTGAGTTGAGAGGTGTCACACATGGTAAGGTGTCAGTGTGAGGAGAGGTGTCACACATGGTCTGGTGTCGGTGTGAGGAGAGGATTGTTGTCCATGGTGAGGTATCGGTGTGAGGAGAGGAGTTGTCCATGGTGAGAGTGTCGGTGTGAGGAGAGGAGTTGTCCATGGTGAGGTATCGGTGTGAGGAGAGGAGTTGTCCATGTGGAGGTGTCGGTGTGAGGAGAGGAGTTGTCAATGGTGAGGTGTAGGTGTGAGGAGAGGTGTCGTACACGGTGAGGTGTCGGTGTGAGGAGAGGAGTTGTCCATGGTGAGGTGTTGGTGTGAGGAGAGGAGTTGTCCATGATGAGGTGTCGGTGTGAGGAGAGGAGTCCATGTCCATGTTGAGGTGTCGGTGTGAGGAGAGGAGTTGTCCATGGTGAGGTTTCGGTGTGAGGACCCCAGGAGTTGTCAATGGTGAGGTGTAGGGTGTGAGGAGATGTTGTCAATGGTGAGGTGTCGGTGTGAGGAGAGGAGTTGTTCCATGTTGAGGTGTCGGTGTGAGGAGAGGTGTTGTACATGGTGAGGTGTCGGTGTGAGGAGAGGAGTTGTACATGGTGAGGTGTCAGTGTGAGGAGAGGAGTTGTCCATGGTGTGTGTGGGGTGTGAGAGAGAGTTGTCCATGGTGGTGTCGGTGTGAGGAGAGGATTTGTACATGGTGAGTGGTGTCAGTGTGAGGAGAGGGAGTTGTCCATGGGTTGAGGTGTCGGTGTGAGGAGAGGAGTTGTCCATGTGAGGTGTCGGTGTGAGGAGAGGAGTTGTCAATGGTGAGGTGTAGGTGTGAGGAGAGGTGTGTACATGGTGAGGTATCGGTGTGAGAAGTTGTCCATGGTGAGGGTGGTGTGTGGAGAGGTTGTGTACATGTGAGGTGTCGGTGTGAGGAGAGGTTGTCCATGGTGAGGTGTCGGTGTGAGGAGAGGTGTTGTACATGGTGAGGTGTCGGTGTGAGGAGAGGAGTTGTCCATGTTGAGGTGTCGGTGTGGTGAGGAGAGGTGTTGTCCATGGTGAGGTGTCGGTGTGAGGAGAGGTGTTGTACATGGTGAGGTGTCGGTGTGAGGAGAGGAGTTGTCAATGGTGAGGTGTTGGTGTGAGGAGAGGTGTCACACATGGTGAGGTGTCGGTGTGAGGAGATGTCCATGGTGAGGTGTCGGTGTGAGGAGAGGTGTTGTACATGGTGAGGTGTCGGTGTGAGGAGAGGAGGTTGTACACGGTGAGGTGTCAGTGTGGAGAGGAGTTGTCCATGGTGAGGTGTCGGTGTGAGGAGAGGAGTTGTACATGGTGAGGTGTCAGTGTGAGGAGAGGTGTTGTCCATGGTGAGGTGTCGGTGTGAGGAGAGAGAGTTGTCCATGGTGAGGTGTCGGTGTGAGGAGAGGTGTTGTCAATGGTGAGGTGTCGGTGTGAGGAGAGGTGTCGTACATGGTGAGGTGTCGGTGTGAGGAGAGGGTCGTACATGGTGTGGTATCGGTGTGAGGAGGGGTGTCCATGGTGAGGTGTCGGTGTGAGGAGAGGTGTTGTACATGGTGAGGTGTCAGTGTGAGGAGAGGAGTTGTCCATGGTGAGGTGTCGGTGTGAGGAGAGGAGTTGTCCATGGTGAGGTGTCAGTGTGAGGAGAGGTGTTGTCCATGGTGAGGTGTCGGTGTGAGGAGAGGTGTTGTACATGGTGAGGTGTCGGTGTGAGGAGAGGAGTTGTCCATGTGAGGTGTCGGTGTGAGGAGAGGAGTTGTCAATGGTGAGGTGTCGGTGTGAGGAGAGGTGTCGTACATGGTGAGGTGTCGGTGTGAGGAGAGGTTGTCCATGGTGAGGTATCGGTGTGAGGAGTGTTGTCCATGGTGAGGTGTCGGTGTGAGGAGAGGTGTTGTCCATGGTGAGGTGTCGGTGTGAGGAGAGGTGTGTCACCATGGTGAGGTGTCGGTGTGAGGAGAGGTGTCCATGGTGAGGTGTCGGTGTGTGAGGAGAGGAGATGTCCATGGTGAGGTGTCGGTGTGAGGAGAGGAGTTGTCTATGGTGAGGTGTCGGTGTGTGAGGAGAGGTGTCGTACATGGTGAGGTGTTGGTGTGAGGAGAGGGTGTCACACATGGTGAGGTGTCGGTGTGAGGAGAGGTGTCCATGGTGAGGTGTCGGTGTGAGGAGAGGTGTCGTACATGGTGAGGTGTCAGTGTGAGGAGAGGGTGTCCATGGTGAGGTGTCGGTGTGAGGAGAGGATGTACATGGTGAGGTGTCGTGTGAGGAGAGGTGTCGTACATGGTGAGGTGTCGGTGTGAGGAGAGGTGTCACACATGGTGAGGTGTCGGTGTGAGGAGAGGGTGTCCATGGTGAGGTGTCGGTGTGAGGAGAGGTGTGTCCATGGCGAGGTGTCGGTGTGAGGAGAGGAGTTGTCCATGGTGAGGTGTCGGTGTGAGGAGAGGTGTCGTACATGGTGAGGTATCGGTGTGAGGAGAGGAGTGTACATGGTGAGGTGTCGGTGTGAGGAGAGGAGTTGTCCATGGTGAGGTGTCGTGTGTGAGGAGAGAGGTGTCGTACATGGTGAGGTGTCGGTGTGAGGAGAGGTGTCCATGGGAGAGAGGTGTCACACATGGTGAGGTGTCGGTGTGAGGAGAGGGTTGTCCATGGTGAGGTGTCGGTGTGAGAGAGAGGTTGTCCATGGTGAGGTGTCGGTGTGAGGAGAGGAGTTGTCACATGTGAGGTGTCGGTGTGAGGGTGTCCATGGTGAGGTGAGTGTGAGGAGAGGAGTTGTCCATGGTGAGGTGTCGGTGTGAGGAGAGGAGTTGTCCATGGTGAGGTGTCGGTGTGAGGAGAGGAGTTGTCCATGGTGAGGTGTCGGTGTGAGGAGAGGGTGTCCATGGTGAGGTGTCGGTGGAGAGGAGTCCATGGTGAGGTGTCAGTGTGAGGAGAGGAGTTGTCCATGGTGAGGTGATGGGAGTCGGTGTGAGGAGAGGAGTGTCCATGGTGAGGTCGGTCGGTGTGAGGAGAGGAGTTGTCCATGGTGTGTCGGTGTCGGAGTGAGGAGAGGAGTGTGTCCATGTGAGGTGTCGGTGTGAGGAGAGGAGAGGTGTCCATGGTGAGGTGTCGGTGTGTGAGAGGAGTTGTCCATGGTGAGGTGTCGGTGTGAGGAGAGAGGTGTCCATGGTGAGGTGTCGGTTGTGAGGAGAGGAGTTGTCCATGGTGAGGTGTCGGTGTGAGGAGAGGAGTTGTCCATGATGAGGTGAGGAGTGAGGAGAGGAGTTGTCCATGATGAGGTGTCGGTGTGTGAGGAGAGGAGTTGTCCATGGTGAGGTGTCGGAGTGAGGAGAGGTGTTGTCCATGGTGAGGTGTCGGTGTGAGGAGAGGAGTTGTCCATGATGAGGTGTCGGTGTGAGGAGAGGAGTTGTCCATGGTGAGGTGTCGGTGTGAGGAGAGGTGTCCATGGTGAGGTGTCGGTGTGAGGAGAGGAGTTGTCCATGGTGAGGTGTCGGTGTGAGGAGAGGAGTTGTCCATGGTGAGGTGTCGGTGTGAGGTGTCGTACACAGTGAGGTGTCGGTGTCGGTTGGGTTGTCACATGCTGTATATCTGACATTCCTGCTCTCGGATCCCCCATCAGTCTCTGCATCTTCTGCTCTCTGACACATTTATCTCCCCTCTCTCTCCTTCATACAAGGTGTCAGACGGACCCGTGTGAGGCGTGTACATACCACGGGAAGACCTACAGCACGGGTGAGCGTTGGAGGTCTGGAGAATGCCACGTGTGCCAATGTCTGCCGAACCTGACCGTCCAGTGCTCCCAATTCTGCCAGTTCATCAATGTGGGGTGCCCCGAGGTGAGATCTGGTGACACCATCACTATAGTAACGTACTGTGTAGAAGACTCATCATCTCTCATATATACACGGCTCCACCAATGAGAGGAAGACTCTGAGAACCCATCAGACCCCAATGGGGAGGAATCTCCTGCTGGATCTCTATACTGACATGGATGGGGGATGGGTGAGGAACGTAAGGACGCCCCATCATTGGATGGAAATGATCGACCTACAGAGGACTGAATTCACAGACACCCCGAAAATCAAAGTGAAGAAATGATGCAGCAGGCGGAGTCCATGTTGGTGAAATGTCATTGCAGCAACTCAGAATGGTCCTCAGTAGTCTGTGTGGCCCCCACGTGCTTGTATGCATGTCTGACAACGTCGGGGGAGGGTCCTAATGAGACCACGGATGGTGTCCTGGGGGATTTCCTCCAAGATCTGGACCAGGACATCACTGAGCTCCTGGAAAGTCTGAGGTGCAACCTGGAGGCGTCGTGGATGGACCGAAACATGACATCCCAGAGGGGTTCTATTGGATTTAGGTCAGGCGAGTGTGGGGGCCATTCAATGGTATTAATTCCTTCATCCTCCAGGAACTGCCAGCATACCCTCCCCACATGAGGCCGGGCATTGTCATGTACCAGGAGGAACCCAGGACCCACTGCACCAGGAGGAACCCAGGACCCACCACACCAGGAGGAACCCGGGACCCACCGCACCAGGAGGAACCCAGGACCCCCGCACCAGAGGAACCCAGGACCCCCCGCACCAGGAGAAACCCAGGACCCGCTGCACCAGGAGGAACCCAGCACCCACTGCACCAGGAGGAACCCAGCACCCACTGCACCAGGATGAACCCAAGGCCCACTGACCAGGAGGAACCCAGGACCCACCGCACCAGGAGGAACCCAGGACCCACCGCACCAGGAGGAACCCAGGGGACCCCATGTTGGTGAAATGTCATTGCAGCACCAGGAGGAACCCAGGACCCCCCGCACCAGGACAAACCCAGGACCCAGATGCTGCACCAGGAGGAACCCAGATCTGGACCCATCACTGCACCAGGAGGAACCCAGCACCCACATGCATCCCAGAGGGGATGGAAGGTCAGCGATCGAGTGTGGGGGCCCAGTATCAATTCCTTCATCCACCAGGAGGAACCCAGGACCCAGGCCAGGCATTGTCACCAGGAGGAACCCAGGACCCACCGCACCAGGAGGAACCCAGGACCCACCACCGCACCAGGAGGAACCCAGGACCCCACCGCACCAGGAGGAACCCAGGACCCCCCCGCACCAGGAGGAACCCGGGACCCCCCGCACCAGGAGGAACCCAGGACCCCCCCGCACCAGGAGGAACCCAGCACCCACTGCACCAGGAGAAACCCAGCACCCGCTGCACCAGGAGGAACCCAGCACCCACTGCACCAGGAGAACCCAGCACCCACTGCACCAGAGGAGGAACCCAAGGCCCACTGACCAGGAGGAACCCAGGACCCACCGCACCAGGAGGAACCCAGGACCCACCGCACCAGGAGGAACCCAGGACCCACCGCACCAGAAGGAACCCAGGACCCACCGCACCAGGAGGAACCCAGGACCCACCGCACCAGAAGGAACCCAGGACCCACTGCACCAGGAGGAACCCAGGACCCACTGCACCAGGAGGAACCCAGGACCCACTGCACCAGGAGGAACCCAGAACCCACTGCACCAGTGTAGGGTCTGACAATGGGTCCAAAGATTTCATCCCGATAACTAATGGCAGTCAGGGGGCCATTGTCTAGCCTGTAGAGATCTGTGTGTCCCTCCATGGAGATACCTCCCCAGACCATCACTGACCCACCACCACAACGGTCATGCTGAACCATGTTACAGGCAGCAGAACGTTCTCCATGGCTTCTCCAGACCCTTTCACGTCTGTCACATGTGCTCAGGGGGAACCTGCTCTCATCTGTGAGAAGCACAGGGTGCCAGTGGTGGACCTGCCTATTCTGGGGTTCAATGGAAAATGCCAATCCAGCTCTATGGTGTGCCGGGCAGTGAGCACAGGGCCCACTAGAGGACGTCGGGCCCTCAGGCCACCCTCATGAAGTCTGTTTCTGATTGTTTGGTCAGAGACATTCACACCAGTGGCCTGCTGGAGGTCATTTTGTAGGGCTCTGGCAGGGCTCATCCTGTTCCTCCTTGCACAAAGGAGCAGATCCTGGTCCTGCTGATGGGTTAAGGACCTTCTATGGCCCTGTCCAGCCCTCCTAGAGGAACTGCCTGTCTCCTGGAATCTCCTCCATGCTCTTGTCTCCTGGAATCTCCTCCGTGCTCTTGTCTTTTGGAATCTCCTCCGTGCTCGTGCTCCTCTTGTTCTTTCTCCTGGAATCTCCTCCATGCTCTTGTCTCCTGGAATCTCCTCAGTGTGTTCCTCTCCTGGAATCTCCTCATGTGCTCTTGTCTCCTGGAATCTCCTCAGTGCTCTCGTCTCCTGGAATCTCCTCCGTGCTCTCGTCTCCTGGAATCTCCTCCGTGCTCTCGTCTCCTGGAATCTCCTCCGTGCTCTCGTCTCCCGGAATCTCCTCCGTGCTCTTGTCTCCCGAATCTCCTCCGTGCTCTTGTCTCCCGGAATCTCCTCCGTGCTCTTGTCTCCCGGAATCTCCTCCGTGCTCTTGTCTCCCGGAATCTCCTCCGTGCTCTCGTCTCCCGGAATCTCCTCCGTGCTCTCGTCTCCCGGAATCTCCTCCGTGCTCTCGTCTCCTGGAATCTCCTCCATGCTCTTGTCTCCTGGAATCTCCTCCATGCTCTCGTCTCCCGGAATCTCCTCCATGCTCTCGTCTCCTGGAATCTCCTCCATGCTCTTGTCTCCTAGAATCTCCTCCATGCTCTTGTCTTCCGGAATCTCCTCCATGCTCTTGTCTCCCGGAATCTCCTCCATGCTCTTGTCTCCTGGAATCTGTCAAGGTCCTACCTTTTCCCTGAGGTTATGTTACGCCATGTGCTGGCGTCCATCTTGGATTCTGCTGTACATGATGGGAATCCTTTTATGCCTTCAGGTCTCTGTGGTCCATCCCCCAGAGGGGTGTGGCTGATGACATATAAGCCTGTGGCCCGCACATGCTCTTTGCACTTGTGTCTTGTGTCTTTGTGTTGCTATTACTCTGTTCTGACTCTCGTGACTCTCCTGGTATCTGATTCGGCTTGTGACTTGACTATTCTTTGTATTCTCCTTTGATCTGACCCTCTGTTGCTGAACCCGGCTCGTGACCTGTGATTCTCGTCTGCTGTCCTGTACTGTTTTGTCCTGTTGGTGTTGACCCGGCCTGTCTGACTACTCTTTTGTCTCTTCCACCAGCTACACGCCATTGGCGGCGGCCATTACCGCAGCTGAGGTGTCTCGGGGGCCGCGACCTGGTTCCTGGCTGCGTCAAGTCCATCCCCACCATCAGGGGCCCTGGTGAAGGGCAGCCTGGGACTTAGACTCCGCGCCCTGAGGGACTTCGGTCTGTGGGTAGTGGTTGTCGTCAGCCAGTGCGTTACATTGTTAGGCCTGCCTGTCCGTTCCTCGGCCCCTGCCCTGACATTATCTCCTCCATGCTCTCGTCTCCCGGAACCTCCTCCATGCTCTCGTCTCCCGGAACCTCCTCCGTGCTCTCGTCTCCCGGAATCTCCTCCGTGCTCTCGTCTCCTGGAATCTCCTCCGTGCTCTCGTCTCCCGGAATCTCCTCCGTGCTCTCGTCTCCTGGAATCTCCTCCGTGCTCTCGTCTCCTGGAATCTCCTCCGTGCTCTTCGTCTCCTGGAACCTCCTCCGTGCTCTCGTCTCCTGGAACCTCCTCCGTGCTCTCGTCTCCTGGAACCTCCTCCGTGCTCTCGTCTCCTGGAATCTCCTCCGTGCTCTTGTCTCCTGGAATCTCCTCCATGCTCTCGTCTCCTGGAATCTCCTCCGTGCTCTCGTCTCCTGGAATCTCCTCCATGCTCTCGTCTCCTGGAATCTCCTCCATGCTCTTGTCTCCTGGAATCTCCTCCATGCTCTTGTCTCCTGGAACCTCCTCCATGCTCTTGTCTCCTGGAATCTCCTCCGTGCTCTTGAGACTGTGTTGGGAGACACAGCAAACCTTCTGGCAATGGCAGGTATTGATGTGCCATCCTGGAGGAGTTGGACTGCCTGTGCAACCTCTGTAGGGTCCAGGTATGGCCTCATGCTACCAGTAGTGACACTGACCCGAGCCAAGTGCAAAATGAGTGTAAAACAGTCAGAAAAGATGAGGAGGGAAAAAAATGTCAGTAACCTCCACCTGTAAAACCATCCCTGTTTTGGGGGTCGTCTCATTGTTGCCCATCTAGTGCACCTGATCTTAATTCCATGAGCACCAATGCAGCTGAAACTGATTACCACCCCCTCTGCGACTAACCTGACCAGATCCATATCTCAGGAGGTTCAGGGACTTGATGCGACTCGGATTACAAAGTCTTCCTTTCATTTTTTGGAGCCGTGTACATGCCGTAACCCATAGCAACCAGTTAGCATATTCTACCCAACAGTTAATATAAGAAATTGCAGCGCAGAATGTGGAGCTTCAGTAGCCAACGGTAACGGCACGGCTATGTCATGTGATCACAGATATTCCAGGGAAGGTTCATGGCTCCTCATGTTCTCCATCTCTTGCAGGGCCAGTTCCTGGTGGAGAGCTCAGGGGACACCTGCTGCCATTGTACGGGGACAGGTCAGTGTGCAGTCTTCCACCGTGCCCATAGATGGCACCATACTTATCATTGGTAGTCAGATCACCGCTGGTGGGATTAGTCGGCTACAAATGGACGTGTTACATTGTATCACATTGTACTTCCTGTATTCAGGCACTAAATGTCCACAGGAAGCCAGCTGACGGGAGGGGAGAGTCAGGTGGATGGATTGCTGGGCTCTAGGAGAGTCAGTAGGATCACAGGGGAGGCAGTGGGACCCCAGGGGGAGGTGGTGGGACCCCAAGGGGAGAACAGGGGGACATGGTGGGACCCCAGGGGGGAGGCAGTGGGACCCCAAGGGGAGAACAGGGAGAGGCGGTGGGACCCAAAAGGGGGAATGTGGTGGAACCCCAGGGGGATGTGGTGGAACCCCAAGAGGATGTGGCGAGACCCTAGGGTGAGGTAGTGGGACCCCACAGAGAGAGCAGAGGGAGAAGCTGGGACCCCAGGGGGAGGTGGTGGTAACTCAAGGGAAGTCAGTGGAAGCCCAAGGGGAGCAGGTGGAACCCCAAGTGGAGGACAGGGGAACATGGCGGGACCCAAAGGAACGTGATGGGACCCCAGGAGGATGTGGTGGGACCCCAGGGGGAGATAGTGGGGAATCAGTGGGAGGGGGTGGGAGCTCAGGGGAAGGCAGTGGGACCCCAGGGGGATGTGTTCGGACCCAAAGGGGAGAACAGGGGGACTTGGTGGGACCCCAGGGGGATGTGGGGAACATGATGGGACCCCAAGAGGATGTGGTGGGACCCCAGGGGAGGTGGTGGGACCCCACAGAAAGAGCAGGGGGGGAAGTTTGGACTCCAAGAAATGGCAGTGGGAACCCAGAGCGAGGTGGTGGGACCCCACAGAGAGAGCAGGGGGAGAAGTTGTAACACCAGGGGAAGGCAGTGGGACCCCAAGGGGAAGTGGTGGGAACCCAAGGAATGCAGTGGAACCCCAAGGGGAGCAGATGGAACCCCAAGTGGAGGACAGGGTAACATGGTAGTACCCGTGGGGATGTGATGAGACCCCAAGAGGATGTGGTGTTACCCCAGTGGGAGATGATGGGACCCCCAGGAAAAGGACAGGGGGAGAAGTGGGGACCCCAAGGGGAGGTGGCGGGACAGCAGGAGGAGTCAGGGGGAACCTGCAAGTATTATTATTCAGAAGGAGATTTATATATATTGTTCATATTTCATCATAGATATATTGTGCACCAATTTCCTTTTTCCTCACCTCAGCTCCAAACAAGACAGAAGGTTCCAGAATGCTACCTACAGGCCTTCCAGTCACCATTCCCATCCCCGGGCTGACTACCTACCCGCTGCCCACTGCTGGAGGTAAGTATGGAGGATGTATGAAGTGTGAATTCATGATATAAGCCTGGAATCTGACCCACTTCATGGGCTGCCTGGGGCCTGCATGTCTCTAGTATGCATCATGCATGGATAGAGGAGGAGGAATGCAGTAGCCCTTATAATCTATGTCAAGGCCATTGGCCATGACAATTTGCTAACAGGACCAGATACTTGCTTGATGAAGGAATGAGAAAAGACCTTCTTTTGGGGAGGTCACCTCCAGCCACCACTGGAGGACGACTCACCCAAGACAATCTGGTGCACTCTACGGATTGGGAAGCAGCCTAGTAATTCTGAGATTTCTGTGAGCTGGAACCCCGGCACACTTTCACTTTTCCTACCCCCACACACACCAGACGCACGATTTAGGGTAGCTTAGCACCACCTGCACATTGTCAGCTGAGTGGACCCACACATGTGCAGATCATCCCAATCACAGCAGGTCCAAACATACCATGGCTGCTGTGAACGAGCCCATACACCCATTCAGTCCATCTCTAGGTTGTTCCATAAAGCCAGGACATACCATTTGGCATTTGCGTCAGAATCACCAAGATTCTTCTCCCTACGACTAATATTTCAGATTTAATTATAGATGATTCCTCTGGTCTAAGGAAAATGAGTGGTGGTTCCCAGACAACGTAGGGTCTTAGCTTGTAAAGGCCTCTCCATCCTTGGAGGGTGGTAGTTGCACGTTCTGTGGTTCTTCTTTGATGGTCTGTAAGGTGACCAACGATGACCTCATTTACACCACAAGCCTACGTGGTCCAGTCAGAAATTCTCTGTCAGCTAGGTGTTAATCTAGGTCTGAGTCATCTTTTCAGGAGCTCTCACCGATTCTCACCATTTCTGGCCCTTGTCTTCACAGACGAATGTTATAAACCTCTCCGGATCTCCCTGCTCCCACCGCACAGCTTTACAGCCTCCTCAGAACTGGCTGATCATCCGGCGTACACAGCCCAGCTCAACCGAGTCTCTCCGGTGGCGGAACGTCATGGCTGGAGCCCACAAAGCAACGATTACTCAGATCACCCGCCCAAGGCTCCCTACCTACAGATTGACCTGCAGGAGCTGAAGAACCTCACAGGTATCTGGACTGTTATCAGGCGATCCAGGGTTTGTTCTTGATTATTGTAGATCACCTGCAGGAGTCACACCTTACAGGTATCTAGACAGACTTCAGGTGATCCAGGATTTGGTCCAGATCATTGCAGATTACTTGGAGGAGTGAAGGAACCTCACAGGTATCTGGACTATTATCAGGAGATCCAGGGTTTGTTCTAGATCAGGGGTTGGCAACTGTGGCCCTCCAGCTGTTGGTGAACTACAAGTCCTATCATGCCTCTGCCTTTGGGAGTCATGCTTGTAACTGTCAGTTTTGCAATGCCTCATGGGACTTGTAGTTCTACAACAGCTGGAGGGCCACAGTTGCCCACCCCTGTTCTAGATTATTGTAGACCACCTGCAGGAGTCACACCTTACAGGTATCTAGACAGACTTCAGGTGATCCAGGATTTGGTCCAGATTATTGCAGATCACTTGGAGGAGCCATGGAACCTCACAGGTATCTGAACCGGTGTCAGGTGATCTGGGGCTTGTTTCATGTCATTGTGGATCACTGGCAGGAGCCAAGGAACCCCACAGGTATCTGGACTTGTGTCATGTGATCCAAGATTTGGCCCAGATCATTGTAGATCATCTGCAGGAGCCTAAGAGCCTCACAGGTATCTAAACATATATCAGGTGATCCAACATTTGTTGATTTAGATTGTGGATCACCTGCAAAAGCCAATGGACCTCACATGTATCTAGACTGGTGTCAGGTGATCTGGGTTTGTTCAAGATCATAGTGGATCACCTACAGGGGTTTAAAACCTCATAGATATCTGGTCTGGTGTCAGGTGATCCAGGCTTTCATCCAGATCATTGTAGATCACCTGCAGGAGATGAAGAACCTTGCAGGTATCTGGACTGGTATCAGGTGATCCAGGACTTGGTCAAGATCATTGTAGATCACCTACAGGAGCCGTGGGATCTCATAGGTATCTAGGACAGTGTCAGGTGATCTGGGGTTTTTTTCCAGGGCATAGTGGATCACCTTCAGGAGCCGTGGAACCCCACAGGTATGTGGACTGATTTCAGGTGATCCAGGTTTTTGTCCAGATCATTGTGGTTCACCTGCAGGAGCCCAGGAACCTCACAGGTATCTGGACTGGTGCCAGGTGACCCAAGGTGTGTTCCAGATCATTGTAGATCACCTGCAGAAGCCAAAGAACCTCACAGGTGTCTAGACTGGTATCAGGTGATCCAGGACTTGGTCATGATCATTGTGGAACACCTGCAGGAGCCGAGGGGCCTGACAGGTATCTAGACAGGTATCAGGTGATCCAACATTTGTTCCATATTATTGTGGATCACCTGATACCTGTGTAGATTCCAGTGAGGCCCCTCCTGCAGGTGTTCCACAATAATCTTGACCAAGTCCTGGATCACCTGATACCTCACAGGTATCTGGACTGCTGTCAGGCAATCCAGGATTTGGTCCAGATCATTGTAGGTCACCTGCAGGAGCCAAGGAACCTCGCAGGTATCCGGACTGGTGTCAGGTGATTCAGCCTTTTGTCCAGATCATTGTGGCTCACCTGCCGGAGCCCAGGAACATCAGTTATGTGGACTGGTGTCAGGTGATCCAAGGTGTGTTCCAGATCATTGTAGATCACCTGCAGAAGCTGAAGAACCTCACAGGTATCCAGACTGGTGTCAGGTGATTCAGGCTTTCATCTAGATCATTATGGGTCACCTGCAGGAGCCAAGGAACCTCGCAGATATCTGGACTGGTGTCAGGTGATCCAAGGTGTGTTCCAGATCATTGAAGATCACCTGCAGAAGCTGAAGAACCTCACAGGTATCCAGACTGGTGTCAGGTGATTCAGGCTTTCATCTAGATCATTATGGGTCACCTGCAGGAGCCAAGGAACCTCGCAGATATCTGGACTGGTGTCAGGTGATCCAAGGTGTGTTCCAGATTATTGAAGATCACCTGCAGAAGCTGAAGAACCTCACAGGTATCCAGACTGGTGTCAGGTGATTCAGGCTTTCATCTAGATCATTATGGGTCACCTGCAGGAGCCAAGGAAACTCGCAGATATCTGGACTGGTGTCAGGTGATCCAAGGTGTGTTCCAGATCATTGTGGATCACCTCCCCTGCCCACATCTGGACGTGATTTCTGTGTATGATCCATTCCACAATGTATCCAGAAAGGTCACAATGTCCCTCAGAGCCATCTACAGACTTCACACTGTAGTCACGTGATGCAGACATGACCGTGGACATGACAGCGGATTGGGCCACATATTTACGGCTTGGCTCTGTAGGACTTCTGGTGTCCCCTGGTATAGAGGAGGTGGGAGGAGCAGAGAGGCACATGCCTCATTGGCGGTATGGCAATCACATGACAGGCAGACTATGGACAGGTGTACTGCGGGATGGACTCTCATGTGTCATTCTCCATCGTGTTCCAGGAATTGCAGTGCAGGGTGGCGGCTCCTCCGATATCTACGTCAGCAGCTTCTCGGTCCAGTTCAGTGATGACGGGGTACACTGGTCCAACTACACCGAGAGGAGCTCTGACACCGAACCAGACACCAAGGTGAGTGCTGATCCCGAGGAGCCTGGCAAGTACAATGAGATGTGCACACACCTAACATACATGTTACATGTGATCTGTATTCAAGAATATAGCTTCGTTCAAGTCGTCACATGTTAATTTATAGCCAATCAGAGGAGAGCATTTCATGTGTCTCATCTTTGGTCTGTTCACACTTGTCTTTCTACGTCAAAACAAAACGTGTGCGCAAAGTCCTACAGTTCACGTTTCCTAGAACGCAGCCTCAGCCTGAGTGCAACAGCCTGTCACCGGCCAGCCTGCTGCAGAGGAGCATCTTTGCTCCCTGTGTGGAAGCAGTGGCCTCTCTGCAGGTGTCCATCGAACCCCCTACTGAGTCAGAACCAGAGCTCCTCAACCCGTGGGGAACATGGGCTTTGCCGATTGCAGAGCTATTGTCCTGACTTAGCGGGCAGCATGTTGGACCTCTGCAGAGAGACCACTGCTTCTGCACTGAAAGTCAGTGTCCTTCTCTGCGGCATGCTGGTAGGCTTTTCCACTTCTTTTTTTTACCTGCAATGTATTTGGACGATTGAAACTGGTGTAGTCTAGTCTTGTATGATCAGCGGTGGGGTCCGGGGATCTGTGTTCGGACAGGGAAGCGGGAGTCTAACGGAAATACCCGAGTGCAGTCTGGGGTCGGTACATTGGTGTGGTCGGTTCCGTTACATTGGTGCAGTCTGGGGTCGGTTCCATTACATTGGTGCAGTCGGGGTCGGTTCCATTACATTGGTGCAGTCGGGGTCGGTTCCGTTACATTGGTGCAGTCTGGGGTCGGTTCCATTACATTGGTGCAGTCGGGGTCGGTTCCATTACATTGGTGCAGTCGGGGTCGGTTCCATTACATTGGTGCAGTCGGGGTCGGTTCCATTACATTGGTGCAGTCGGGGTCGGTTCCATTACATTGGTGCAGTCGGGGTCGGTTCCATTACATTGGTGCAGTCGGGGTCGGTTCCATTACATTGGTGCAGTCGGGGTCGGTTCCATTACATTGGTGCAGTCGGGGTCGGTTCCGTTACATTGGTGCAGTCTGGGGTCGGTTCCATTACATTGGTGCAGTCGGGGGTCCGGTTCCGTTACATTGGTGGCAGCGGTGGGATTGTGCCTCCTGGCTGTGAACACGTCCAAACCACCACCGGGATTCATGATTGAATCTAAAGGTTCAGTTGGGCTTTAAGAATCAGATCAGAGAAGTGAGCTGTACATGGGAGGGGAGAAGTGCCTCGCTGACATTCTCTGGAGTGTATAGAGCCATGCATGGAGTGTATAGAGCCATGCATGGAGTGCATAGAGCCATGCATGGAGTGTATAGAGCCATGGATGGAGTGTATAGAGCCCTGCATGGAGTGTATAGAGCCATGCATGGAGTGTATGGAGCCATGGATGGAGTGTATGGAGCCATGGATGGAGTGTATGGAGCCATGGATGGAGTGTATGGAGCCATGAATGGAGTGTATGGAGCCATGCATGGAGTGTATGGAGCCATGCATGGAGTGTATGGAGCCATGCATGGAGTGTATGGAGCCATGGATGGAGTGTATAGAGCCATAGATGGAGTGTATAGAGCCATGGATGGAGTGTATAGAGCCATGGATGGAGTGTATAGAGCCATGGATGGAGTGTATAGAGCCATGGATGGAGTGTATGGAGCCATGGATGGAGTGTATGGAGCCATGGATGGAGTGTATGGAGCCATGCACGGAGTGTATGGAGCCAGGCACGGAGTGTATGGAGCCAGGCACGGAGTATGGAGCCAGGCACGGAGTGTATGGAGCCAGGCACGGAATGGAGCCAGGCACGGAGTGTATGGAGCCATGCACTGGAGTGTATGTTGAGCCATGCACGGAGTGTATGGAGCCATGCACGGAGTGTATGGAGCCATGCACGGAGCGTATGGAGCCATGCACGGAGCGTATGGAGCCATGCATGGAGCGTATGGAGCCATGCATGGAGTGTATAGAGCCATGCATGGAGCGTATAGAGCCATGCATTGCTGAAGTCTTCGAGAAAACCCGCCATGAGAGAAGCTGCCTTCCGGAATAGCCGTCTGCCTGGCTGTCATGTTGATGACTTGGCTGCAATATTTTAGCTCTACAGACCTGGAACAAGTATGAAGATAATGGAATCTGACCTCACTGTCTGCATGCTTCTTCCAAGCCAGAGACCCGCGCATACTGAGGCCACTCGCCACCAAGCAACTGCCATTTTTTTCAGAAACCAATAGCAGCCTATCAAAACATCTTCTCTAGCTCTGTGTGTGCGAAGGACCACCGTGGTGCTGGTGATATGAATGCTGTATTGTAAAATTCACCAGAATGGCCTCATGATGAAATGGGTGAAGAATGACGAGGACTGAGACCTCTGGGGAGTGTAGGACTCCTGGAGCCAGGCTTCTTCATTCACACCTTTATTATGTGGAGACTCTTTGTCTTCCTTTGTCTTGATGGATTGGCACAAAGCCAACGCAGTTCCTGTTCTTAAAAAGTCTTCCCGCAGGGACTCCAGGCCCAGACGTCTTCTGTAGTAGATGTATCGTTATTCTGATCTTCAGCAGATGCGAGTAAATATGGATCTTCACCGGTGACTACATGGGGAGGTCTCAGGCCCACTTGTGTCCCCAGGACATTCTTCTCAGGATGTTCAGAATGATGGACACCAGTAGATTTTGTTGGACAGGTGAAGGAGGGTGGAGGGAGCCCAGGATTTCTGAAGGCTTCAACTCGTACCACAGTCCTTGGCCTTCTCCATGTCTTTCTCAACCTTCTGGGTCCTTCTTCCACAGGGCTGGACTCTTACACTTCAATGTGGCTCCTTGACAGCTGAGCTTCTGGTGGTATCTCTGTCTTATTCTTGGTTCACTCTTCTGCATTTTCATGTGGTTTTTGTGTATTTTTGATGCATTTTTCATGTATTTTTTCATGTTTGCCTTGTGCTCTCATTTAAGTCAATGGGGCCAAAAAAATGCACCAAAAAGAAGAGTCTTCTCCTTTTTTCCTACTCACACTGAATTGCCTGTCTATAGCTGTGAATTGGCCCTGAAGAAAATAATGTGATTCCTCTTGTGTCACAAGTTAGCCTGCAGTCTCGTTTGTGTTCTTACCTCCTTGCTGCAGTGCTGTTCCTGATCCCTTTCACATGTGTGTTGTCTGTGCTCATCTATGGGCATCATCTGCTGTCCTCTGGGTTTTATTTCCTTCCCTTCCATCACTTCCTGTCCCGCCTCCTTGTCTGCCTGTCTATATAAGATGTGCTCAGACTAGGCCACTTTGCCTGAGCAACTTCCTAGTTGTTGGAGCTCCCACGTGTCTCTGCTGTCCATAACCTATATTGTCTACTTGTGTACTGACTCCGGCTTCGTTCTCCGATCTTGCTTGTTTTCCGCCTGTCCTGACCTCGGCTTGCCTATCGGATTCGTTTTGTCTTCTCCCGTTATACTCTGCTCCTGTGAGCAGTCTCCTCCACCTCAGCTGGGTGTACCCGGGGGCCGCGACCTGGTCCCAGCTTGCTGCAAGTCCATCCCCACCATCAGGGGCTCTGGTGAACAAGCAGGCTGGGGCTTAGACTCAGCGCCCTGGGGAACCCCAAGTTGAAGATCCATAGAGCTCACTACCGCAGGTGTTGACATCTTGTCATGCATTGTCACACAATGGCTGAAGAGCAACAAAATGCACGAGTGTGAACAAGGACTTAGAATTCAAGGTGGACAGCTTGGAAAGGTTGACTCTACGATTAGGCTCCTAGTGGAGTAAAACACGTTAGAGGACAGAGTAGATGACAGCATTTGTAGAAGATAATACCAGTTCTTTGTTGGGACGCCATGATGGTTAAACAGGTCATGGTCCACTTGAACCTGGCCAGTGGAGAAGGAGATAGAGTGCTTTGAGTGGAGTGGAAAGGTTCCTGTGTTGTTTTCCAACTCAGCTGGTCACACATCACGTCCATTGGAGAGGACAACTGCAGTCTGCTTCCTCTAGGCCAGAAATTAGCACTTCATGGCGGCCGGTATCTTAAAGGGGTCCTCTAGGGAGGGGAGATCCTAGCAGCTTCCCACATTCCCAAGGTCCTAAGGCCAAGGCAGATGTCTTAGATGTATCTTCTCAGGGCTGAAGCCCCAGAGAGGTGACCATGTGCCACAAAGTGTCTGAGATATTTAGTAACACGCCCAGCATACACCAGCAAGCCCCCAAGCTACTGATTGGCCGGGTATTAATGATATCTCTAGCACACCCTGCAGGAGCCAGCTCAATACAGCAAGGGAAGAGAGGAGTAAAATCCATTCTTGTCCTCACTCAGGTTTTCCAGGGAAATTTTGATGGTTCCACACCAGTCGCCCGGAGTTTTGATCGGATGGTCAGCGCTCGCTATGTGCGGATTCTCCCTCACACCGCTTATCGGAGAAGAATTTTCCTCCGCGTGGAGCTCCTGGGCTGCGGAGAAGGTAAAAGCAACAGATATATGAATGTGTGAGAGAACTACAAGTCCCAGAATGTCCTGATCAATGACAAGTTACACTTTTCCCTCCTACAGTGTCTGTCAGACCCACCACGCCGGTCCCCAACCTACACCCGTGCCAGCCGGGTCAGTTCCAGTGTCACAATGGTCGCTGTGTCCTGGCCGGACCTCATGGAGTCGTGTGCAATGGAATCAACGACTGCGGGGACCGATCGGACGAGATTTATTGTGGTAATGTGGGGGGATGGGGGTGATTGGGGGAGTCCGGTGTCACAATCCCGGAGAGAAAACTCCATGACTCAGATTATTCCTGCAAGTACATAAAATATCCGGAGATCTGCCAGAAATCCCACCAGATCCTGACTTCCTGTAGTGAGGTGACAACAAGGTCCTTTCCTCTACTGAAATCCCAAGTGGTGTTGTCAGATCTGCCTGTGGACTACAGAACCCCTCTCCCTCTC